AAGTCCAATTCATAAAAGGGAAATCATCTTGGCCACAGCTCATTGACCTGCTTATGCGGTGAAAATTCAATCCAAGAGTAGACATTTTGGGGTTCTGAAACGAAAGATGTCGGAATAAATAAAGTAGATATTTGGAATATGGATATTATATCTTTCTCAGTGGGAAATAGGCTGGAGAAATGGGAAGCTTTTAGTAGAATTATGGAATATTTTGTGGTTTAAAAAGGTCAAAATGAATGCCAAAATGTGAGAAAGTGAAGTTGCAAAAATGCTAAGAGATAAAATTAACTTGAATCAAGTCCATGCGGATTTTCGAGAAAGTCACTTCCTAGCGCCAAAGAAGAGATTAAAAGGCATGCATATTTAGAGAGATATAAAAATGCAGAAAAGTTGGTAGACACTTTCGAAAACGGCAATAAAACAAAGAACAGAATGGGGATGAAAAGAAGGGAATGTCATTAGTTGTGAAAAGTTTAAGTTGAAAATATCAAATGAAGATACCAGTTTGGCGTTAAGGGCTCCTATTAGGTAATGGTGGGTCAGCAAAGAGTTTGGTCAAGTTACGTAACTGTTGGTTACACTGTTTGGCAGCTGAGAAAACATACACATATTTAGATGTGTTTGTTGTTAAATATTGAGGGCAAGCTTGAAGGGCCTAGAAAAGGAGGTTGCAAGGGTGCAGACAAACAAAGGAATGCACAACTCGGCTAGCCTGAGGTAAAGAAGACAATGAAACATTTACTGGGTTCAGGAAAAGAAGTGAAGAAGGCGATACTCCAATAAATAAGTAAATAAACAAATACATAATTATGTATATATATAAATATATATATATATATATATTGTAAGTTGATTACAAAAGCTTCAAACCATGGTAGAGCCCATTTAAATATTGACTAAATACGTTCTTAGAAGAGAAGCCTGACTTTGGAAGATAGTGTAAAGGAGACTTTGCATGTCAACGTTTCTAGGAGGCCAGCCAGGCTTCGCAATTCTCGAATGAATTGCATCGGCTACGGGAGCTGAAGCCGGATGAACGCATGCACTTAGCGATCGCCTCTTTCTCCTTCAAAAAGGCCGCCTCTTCAGCATATCTCAGCGCCTCCGATTGCTCCTTTCTCGCCAGACCAATGGTCTTGGCCGGATAGGCCATCTCCAGATCCATAGTTACAGCTCCTCTCACAAGCGCCATCATCCTTTCTTCTTCTGCAAACTCTCCGCTCACATCAATCTCCCTCTCAACTTCGTCGTCATGGTGATGGCCTCCAAGTGGTCGCAGGCTGGCCGGCTCACCGACGCCAGCCTCATCCAGACCGTCTTCCATCTCGAACGGGGCTGAGGCCCGACATACGCGACCCTCCGACCTGCCCAACGAGCGGCCGAGCCAGCTGGTCTGAGGGCAGACAAGGCAAGAGCGTTGCTGTCTGTCGTGGACACTGTAACCGCGTCGTGCAACCAAAGGACAATTAGTAACGGTCTCCCTGGCGACAAGGGCACTGGCACACCATCCGTTCTGCGAGCAGTTGTCTGATGCTTGCTTCAGACACCTCCGCCGACAGGGCTCGCGGGTAAGAGGGCGAAAGTGGTGAGGCGACGTGTGAAACACATGCTGAAGCCAGACGTCATGTGGAGCATGTGACAGACGTCGGCAATCGGCCGTTGCCGTTGACCGGTCTTCTCCACCCCCGGCAGAAGGGGTCGTCCATGTGGGCTGGAAGAGCCTGTAGCCGGCGAGCAGGAAATCGCAGACCGAGTAGCTCGGCGGTGTTGCTATGCCTGCGAGTTGACCGGACGACGGGTGACGACCGGGACAGAGGCCTGCCTCCCGAGTGGCCTGATCGTAGCAGGGTGGTGGGGCGCTGGGATACTGAGGCCGGTGGTCTCCAGGGTACTGGGGACAGGTGAGCAGGTTTGCGGGGCCAGGCGAGCTGTGGAGCAGAGGCAGCGAAGCATGATGCCTCCGGGAGACGGGCGGGCAGAGGACGTCGGTTGCGAGGAGAGGCTCAAAGGGCTCAGTAACCGCGGCGGTGTTGCTGGGCCCAGTTTGGTGTGTGTTTGTGCCGGAGGCGGCAGTTGAAGGGGTGCGTTCGGGGCTAGTCGGACGCCTCAAAGTGGCTCTTGGACCGGCACCAGACTCTTGGATTGGCAGACTCACGAGTCTGTGAGTCTGACCGGCG